GCAAGCCGTCACGATGCTCTTATAGCTCACGGAACACGCTTGCGAAATGACATCGTGTTTACACGTGACCAGGTCCCAGGGTTCTGTGTATCTCTTGTTATTAGTTTTCGACAGTGAGGGGGAAGGTCTAAGCAAAGAAGAAGAAGAAGAACAACGATAAAACGTTTAATCTCTGGTCGGGAATTGAGTCCAAATTGTGATCTTCAGGTTGGTCTTTAACAAAATCTTCCATTACTTCAGGCTACGAATTTACGGTCTGTGTTTGAAAACAACACTACGGTTGTATTGTCCATATGTCAATTTCTAATTCTCTTTAAGAAAGTGTGTTGATGAGTGCTACGCCTTCAGAGATGATTTAAGATCATAATTTGGAACTTATTTGTCAATTTGGATGTCCGGTCTTTAGGGTTTAGAAACTCAAGGCAAGTGCACGCGGGAACATCAGATTCGGCAAAAATTTCTTTCAATTGGACACTAAGCACATTAATATGCACCTTACCTTTGTAGTTTCCTGCCTCTAAAATGCTTATAATGGCTCACACTGACAGCCCTAATCTCTTATATGTATTGGCTATTTGTCCGAATCTTGGGCTTTCTTTGTAATCTAATTCTTCACTCAAGTTGACGTTCTTTCCCCTTAAAAGAACTCTTGGACGTGTAACGACTTCGTTAGCGTTACCTTATAGCCCAGCTGGTCAGCAGTCCGTAACAGACCGAGAAGAAAGGCGAAACAGATGATGGCGAATATAACGATTTTTTACATTTGACCACCCAAGTCTTTTATAAAGGAGTGCATGAGAGAAAACCGACGTCATCTGCTATCGATAATCGATAACATTCGATCGAATCGTGGATAAACTTCACTCACGCTCGTTTGATAAAAGTTTAATACAAACGCACCGGGAGAGGACAATCTGAATGTGCTAACCGGGGAACAATGTAGGACATTCTGCAGGAACTCTGGAGAACATTTTCCAACAGCGGACAACAGAACCGACACCAAGTTCATTTGGTCAATTATACAGTTGTGCTCTGCAATGCTATCTGGCTTTCCCTGAACGTCTTAATTGCATGTTTGGGTATCTTTTCATTCACTGGATTTACTTAAAAGAGCTTCGGCCATTTTCCAAAATATTATCAATTGTTTGGTGCTTCAAAAGAGTCTGCCTGTCCCCACCAATTAGGGGATCCATGTGATGGAAATGTGCTTTATTGCCGGTTCTCTCTCCCCTCCATTTGAATGCTCTACACTATCCACTTTTTCCAAACTGTGAGTGTCCAAGGCATCTAAAGTGAAATGGTGCTTTAGTTATGGTTTACGGTATCAGGGTATCTGTTTCGGATGAATTGGGGAAAAAGCCAACAGCATTAATTGGAGAATGATTCCTACCTTATAGTCCGCTCAAACCAGAGGATTGCAGTTTATTACAAATATTCTGCCCTCGTGCACTAGAATTGCGAAATTGTAAATTGAGCAAGTCGTGCCGATTGCAAGATGTATATTCAATGACTGCCACAGGATTTTGTCAATCTTTTGAATAAAATACGTGAGAAATTCCATAGTCTACTTGTAACTGCGAATGTTAATCACCGTAGAGGAACAAAGTATTGTCTTAGTAATTGGAACTTCATATTTGGCTTATTAAAGCGACGTCATTGGAATCTGTAAACACCACTGCGGTAATTGTTAAATCCCGAGTGAAACTGTCGCTGAGTGAAATTCTGTTTTCACAACACGGAAAAACCACCAAATTACTTTTAATTTTTTTCATCGAAAACTCTGACTACAGAGTCGCAGCACATGCTGACACAACGTGGTAACCTTGGGGTTGAATTGCAGCACATTTCCAGTTCCACTTGTTATAAATCATCATAAATCGGTGGAATGTTAACAGCAGCAGTTGGTTTGAACTTCTGATTTGGAAAAAAAGCCATCACATTCGGAACTGATACAGGCTTCAACTCGGTCTCCTGACCTCTTATCGGATTATAGGTTTCACCCACTAAACGTATCAGGCCAGATTTACTACAGAAACGATTGGCGTTGGCATCCGTACACTCTGTCATAATTTACTTATCTTAGATTCAGCTATAGAAGGTCCTAACCACCTCGCACTGCTTTCGCAATATTAGCAAGATGGTTTCTGATTAGAGTGAAAGCAACGAGAATTTCAGTGTAACGCATCTCGGATTGTGCGCATGGGACACTTTTGTTCATCCGAATTTCGACGCCTTTTGCGGTAAGTTGCTAAAAATTCTAAGTGGTCTTCTTAATAGGCAATGTGTGTTTCGAGGAAATCGCTAGTAATTTAGTCGATCAAAGTATGGAGGTTTGCTTGGCTTTCCTAAAGTGAAACTCCTTGAAACCAAATGGGGTGAATCGCGAGGACACACCTGAAAGATTTTTAAGGGAGTTAATAGGTGGGGTAAGACTTTTCCCCCGATCATTATAACAAGCTAAAATGTTGGATAGCGGTCCACGAAAAAGAGCCTTTATGCATTTCGTAGAAGTAAATACATGAAGATTAGGGGTTTGTATCATTTGTTAACGTAAATACTCTTGACTAAGAAGACATCGCATGAGTTTACACAAGCGCGACATCGCCTTACTCGTCTATGGGGTTTTATTGTTAGTTTAACAACTCCGGTGTCACGGATTTCCTTTCATCAACTTGATCAACCTGTGCGCAGCACGTCTGGGCGTGAGAACGGTGTTTGTGTGTGACGGGGGAGGCGGGGCGGGGCGGGGACAGCCGTGTTAACAGCTGCCGTATTGAACACGACAAGGAGCTACACGCTTGTTTGATCAAATCGTGACCGTGCGACAAACCAGCACCTCTGAGTCGCGACACAAGTCCTTCGCTCTCGAGAGGTTTCCTTTCGCCGCTTTTGTGCGCTATGTGCTGTGCTCTCTCCGCCCCACCTCAGCTTTCTTTTACGACTGAACTACGTCGTCGACCTTGGAGGTTGCGTCGCTCAGTCCACCTTCTCTTCTGGGAAAACATGGTGGTTGGAACATTTGCGCAATGCACTCGGCGACTGATTACAAACACACCAAGCAGAGGCGTCTATTCATGTTAGCAGGCACTAACACCTTGTTATGGGACTTGTTCCGAACTAGTCAGAATCCAAACAATAAGTATTGAAAGGTGGTGTTACAGTTGGTACCAAACACGGGACACAACTGGCGGCTTAAAAAAGGGTGCTAGCTAGAATTGTGATGGAATATTGATTAACTAAGGCTCCCAGAAAGGAATTTGTCTGTTATGTTGGAACAAAAGATCACTTCAGTAGTTTGAATACAACCAGTGATGTCATTCATTCTGATAAGCGTTTTTTAAGGACAAGGGCATTTTAGACCTAACCACATCATACGTTTTAAAAAACAAGTTTTTTTCAATGAGAAAATGCAGAAGGCTCTGATTGTATTTAAACGACTGTAGTGAGTCTTACACCCTGCTGCCCTAGAAAAAAGCTTATGCGATTATTCTAACCCATTTTGTCAGTTTTAGGCAAATGGGTAAAGAAATGATTTTGAATGTGTGCTTAGTTTACTGAAATTCTCGTAAAATGACTTGAAGTCAATTGGAATAGCACAAATGGCTTTCCTGGAGAGGCACATTCGCCTATCCTGTAGGTGGACCAACTTGGAACCTCGACCAAGCAGGGGGCACTGAGTGGACATGTAGCTACGTGAGAAGTGTGCTCTTTCATGTGCCATCTTTGCCTCTTCGACTCACGAAAGTTCGGTACATCAGTGATGATCGGCCAAATATGATGAAGCAGGCAGCAAGTTGGGTAGGATATACCGAAATAAGCCATCAAAACAGACCGCTAATGTCCAGCTGTATGAATAATGACGGTTGACAAGGCATGAACGTATAAATCCGAGTATACTAGAACCTTTTTTGGATGTGACTGGTGGTTAACATCTCCTATCACCAGGTAAACACTCAACGATAAGGGCAAATCTGCCAATAACGACCAGTGCTTGTCGAGTTGCTTCATAACCGGGACTCTAAGTCACCAGGCTGGACCAATAATTTCCTTTCGTAATCACAGCTTTTGTATATTAAGTCCACATATTGAACCACTAGCTGCCATATTCCAGCGAAATAATTTTCCGGTTGACTGATTTGCATATCTGCGATGGTTAGTTGCTTTCTACCTATAGCATTTAATGGATGAGAATATAAGGTTACGGTTCCTTCCATCTTCGATTCTCTACTCTCTTGTCTGATCTCTCAACGCTCGACTAATGCCCACAAAAGACCCCTCGTTTCGTCAGTTTGAGGCAACTGCTCTTAACATTATTAGAATTCAGTGGGCGCGATCGCGACAGGACTTCCGTCGCCGATTTGGATTCACATTCACCCGTCAATCAAGGGGGTGGAATAACCTGTCAAATTGTTAAACAGGTATTGATCAAGACACCATGACAACGAGGGGTATTCGACCCGTCAGCGGTTGATGGGTTTGGTGATAGTCTGTGCACAGCATATCGGTTTGCGTTTCCCACGCCTTTTGTGGCATCGCTCAGTGTAGAGAAACTTACTACGCACAAACGAAAGCCTACTTTGGCCTCTTACACTAAACTAGGTCTTCGATTTTGGGGAACCTGTTTTCACGGCACAGGTCCGGAGGTATGTAAATTCACACACCCGTTCCAGCCTGAAAAGCCACGAAATGAGGTTCTTTCTCGGCCAACTGGGAACTCATCTAAAGAGGTGGCCATATACAAAGTCATTTGGGGCAGTAAAATGCCGTCAGATAACAAAACTAGTGTTGATGAAACAGCAACGTGTAGTAAAGCCCCGCAATCCCCTTTGAGATGTGGAGACTGGTCGAACTGGTACCACAGAGAACACACACACGAGATGTCCACTATAATTTCCATGCACGTCGAAGGTTGTGGCACTTGAGACCCACAAGGACTCAAAGTGCTCTAATTAATTAATTGAATAAAAAACGAGCATTTCGGTTTGTTAGAGAGGTGAGAAATGCAGATGGCTTTAGTGTTGTTCGACTTGCGGCTTTCGATCGTTGTTCAGACACATAGGTGTCACCCTGAGGCCTATTTAGGCCATTTAGTGGCAGGCACGAAAGCAGATGTTCAGGTTGACGACGCCCATTCGGAATTGGACTTGCTGGCCGGCGTGGTCGGTGGCAGCTGGAATCTGCCATCTGGTGACCCCTTGCAGCTGACTTGTGATAACAGGTAATTAGTGTTCTGTGGAAGCAGACGCCGGTAATTAAATTCCAATTCCTCACAGTGTAATTAACTGCTGGGGTTTTATGGAAAGTCGGGTTATGACTGATCTGACACATGGCTTTTGTGCAAAAAAATAAACAAGTGTAAACACACGAAATTTCATTATATGGGAAAGGGAGAGCTAGTAGGAAAAGATTACCCACAAGTCTACAAAGTTCAACTTTCATGCTTTGTGAGTGTGCATTTATTCATCCAATTTTTGCATCTTCAAGACGACGCCATCCCCAGTAAGAATTCGCTTTTGTCAATTTCAATTAGCCGCCTAAATCTAGCCAATCTATTCACTCCAGACCCTGGGGTTCGGTGGGTTTAATCACGTAAGGCTCTTAACGAAGCCTTATTAATTTACCAAGAATACCTACGCTCATATGGTGAAATACTGGAAATCCGATCCACATCGTCAGCTTCACCTATTAACTTACAAGGCTGTGTAATTAAAGTTAATGATGCATCAAACGGTGGAAGAGAAATGCCTGTATTTGGCCCCGAATGGTTATAATGTTGGCAAAGAAAGAGAACTAGAAGCCAGTCGAAACGCATCCCTATTGGCTCGCGAAATAAGAACTTAAATCAGTACTGGCTATCATCCCGAAAAGTGTGATTTTGATCTTTAAACACATAGAGAACTTTCGAGTCAAGTCTAGCTTTTAATGAAGGAACAGTATGGAAATGATGTCTGAGGTAGAATCGACGGACACAGAGTTCATTTAACGGATAGAGTAGTTTGACTTACAAGGCTTAGTGACTTGTCGTGTAATGATGAGTCTGACCACAGCAGCTGACTTAGATTTTGAAGAATCGCAAAATTTGGACAAAGGCAAGGAGGAGGAGGAGGAGGCGCTGAAGCCGTTTTGGGATCATGGTCACTCTGTAGTGGAAAAAAGAAAAGCCATACAGTAAACGTGAATTTATGAACTCTTAATTAAAACGAGAATTGGGAATATTAATGCAAGAAGTTAATCGTGGGGCCCACTGAACATTAAAGTGGTTAGCAATGAAGAGGACACGGCTTTATTTACTCCTAGTCTTTTCCTGTGCGGGCAATAAATGGGTGAGTGGGTCTGTGGGTGGGTCAGCGAATGAGCCAGGTCACGAGATTTAGCTTTATTCAAAGGACCAGACGTGAGTACAAGTTTAACACCGACGCTCACTGAAGTTAACATGTCATGAACTCTCGACTGTCAGCAACTAAATAGCATGTGAGTCGCATTTAGGGTCAGTGCGTTTGCAGGCCTGCTGCAGGTCACACTTCATTTGGGTTAATGTGTGTGGCTAACACTGGCTTAAATGAAGACCCAGGAACGCAAGTGGGTACGGTGAATTAAATTGCATTTCAAATAGCTGGGAGTGAAATCATCCATCCCTTTTGCAGTCAATGAGAGCGTTCCCAGTGAAGAATGAACTGTGGGCGTAAAACCAAAAGGTCAAGTGGTTTCCTGAGCAGTAGAGACCCCAATTTAGATCAGAGCGTGTTTGCAGCGAGGTTGGAAAGAAAGAAATGTCTCGGTGGTGGTCCTGGGACTGGGAATCGCACAAGGCCTCGTGGGACATCAGGCAGAGCACCTAGTGTAACAACATGCTTCTCACAATAAAAGAGAAAACTACGAGAGAGGCAAATAATTATCGGAACCACTAGCACCTGATGTTTGGGCTAAGGAAAGACGAGGGTCAATCACGTTGTAACATACTTGATCAAGGCACGATAATCATCAGAGGTTTCTTTGTGACTCAGGGAAGTAGCAAATGTCTAGAAACGCCCTTATTTTTATTGGTGACGTGACCATGTTCCGAGAAACTTGAGATCATCTTATCACGATGTAGATTGCTCACGTCATCAGGGACACCTGTTTTACGTGCGAAATCCGATGGGATGAACATTTTCCCCAGATTGACAAATTCATGCAATGTAAACATTGTCTCAATGAGGAAATCTCTTGAGTTTGAGGTCTGTTTTTAGGTGCAAGCGAGCGTGTCGCTAACAACAACAACAAAATCACTCATTTTCATCATTAGAAAGAGAAAGGACATGTGAAGCAGAAAGACATCAGCGGTAAGGCGATGTTGGTTGATTTTCCACTGAAAGCGAAACTTAAAAGCTCGAACACTGGCTAAATAGATGAAGTAGGCTACCACAATGGTCAGAGATAAATAAGTATGTGGTAAGTGTATTTTCTAGTTTCATGATTATAATTGCATGAAAATTTTGAAGCGTTACACTTTGCATCAAACTTTCTCACACGAAGCAAAGATATTCTGTAATTTGGGAGGTTGCTTTTACTGTTTTGCTGGAAAGACCAAATTAACAAATAAGGCTACACAGTGCTCGTCAAACTAGTGATTCTCAATTGTTGATGTGGCAATCACACTGTTCAAGGCTTCTTCTGTGATCAAGTAGTGTCAAGGTTTGCGGTATTGTTCCGGTGATCTAACCCGATCGAACACGTATCTAATAGCAAGCTGCTAAAATAATCACCAGTAACTTGAACAGGTACCAGAATAATTTACGAATATATGTGCGGTCGTGATTCAGCGTGTACACCCATATTACTTCGGAAAAATCCAGCCAAACCTCGCGCGAACTCCTCACGAACGTGCCACAACGACACCCTCTCCAGGAGTGATAATGAAATAAGAGTAACTTAAGCGATGCGGTGACTCTCGTCAACGAATAATTGCAAAGGTCACCAAGAGGGACCACGACCGAACGAATGAGGAGTAACGGCCATTTCCCTCACCTAGGTGGAAACATGATCTTCTAGAGCCATTCCAAGCGAAAAAACGATGTATATCGCAAGGAAACAAGACGGGTTGTGTTTATGGGTCAACTCTAGGCATCTTACCTATTTATTCCACTCCAGTGGTTGAGTTCAAGCTTAATTAAGCTGCCAACCCAAACGACCGCGTCTTAGATTCGATCCTCAGAAACCCCTCTTAATTTCATAAACAAACTACCCCATCGCTGAGACCACACTAAACAAACACGCGATGATTATTTTTAGAAACAAAACATACAACTGCATGCTTACACTGCTTAAGACTTTCAGTCAATGTGATATTTTAGAATGCCGGATCTTGTCATAATTGACGCATAGCTTACTGACCTCTGTGCCAAAAAAAAACAAATTACAGGATACTATTCACGTATTAGGCAATGTCAAACAGGGAATTTTATTTCACCAGCTACAAAGGACTGATCAAACAACTATCCAATTGAAGGATGCAAGTCCCATTGATCGGAAATGCTTCGCCACTATTCCACACACTGTTCTTTATGCTTGATGTGGATGAATAAATTAATCATGGCACAAATTGAAATCACTAGTTAAACGCCATAGTAAACTAAACAGTAGCCTATCCCGCCTATTGTGTCAGGGACTCGATAAGCTGGTCTGCGACTCGTCAGGTTTCTTAATTATCTATGCAAGCGCCTTCATATGGCTGTGTCGTATCATGACGAGTTCTGGTAAAGAACGAGGTAGAGGGGAAGGCGTTGTTCCCATAATGTATGCATCACGACTGGGTGTTTAGTGGTAAAGATCTCAGGTTGTTGTGGACTGAGCAAACACCAGTGGCAGAGTGCACACCACGGAGCTTTAGCGAACCCTTGTCTTCCCCTCCTTCCATAGCGTCTTGTGGTGAACATTAACTTAACGTGTCCTACATTTGCTGTGTGTCTGCTCTTAACACTGAGCCCTGCGTGGTAAACCACATGTTTGGCAGGTAGAAATGGTTTTAAAAATGAGTGGACGATTTACTTATCTAATTCAGAGTAATATCTACTTGCCAGTCGGACCTTGGTCACATTCTGCATTAGGTGAAAGTTAAAACACGACTTTTTTCGTAGGTAAAAGGAAATGCACGAATCTGGAGACAGTCCCAATCTTTAAAGCCTGAGGTTTTGTTTATTAAGCTAGGAGTTAGGGATTAGTAGATGTTTTCAGATAATATTGTCGCATGTAAACACAAAATAACATTTATTTAACCACTTCTACTTTTGTGGACTGCATTTCTAGTGCTATTTTGTAAGCGTGCAACAGCTCACCAAAAATCGAAATACATGGTACAAAATCTAAATTCTTATTTTCCCGTTTCAGAATCATCGAGGCTCTCAGCGCAATGCGTCGCAACTTGAGCACTTAATCATTTGTCGATTAAAGGGGGCAATTTTTAAGCAACAAAGCGACGGGTCAGCTTCGATGGTGATGGACCTTTTCACTTTCCAGTCCCACTTATGCGAGGAGGAGGGGGAGTTGGGAGGGGGTTGGGGAGGGGAGAAATCCTCAAGTGGAGCCCGGGAGGGACAGCTGGAAGTCAGCAGGGGTGTGAGAGGGGGCCAATATCAGTCTGTATCAAGGTTGTGCTTTCATCAGCGCTCTTCGGTGTCATATGCATTTCAAGTTGTGGCGAGGACAAACAAATTAACCACAGAACCATTGAGATTTAGTTAAATTTATCGGGAAGTGAAGCCTGAAAAAACGCGCAAGAGCAGCGTGTTATTGTATTGTCAAAACCACATAGGCTCAACGTTTAACTACTGAAGACAAAACATAACACCAGGTCTCTGCATGTCCTAAGTCAATTCAAAATTCTTTCAAATGGATGCATCTTTTTCTGTCGTTGGTTAAACTGGGAGCTAAGGTGATGTTTAAAGCTCAGCAAGCTGCAACTAAATGGAACAATTTAGCTAGGACAGGAACTGAATAAAACCACTTCGAATAAGGTGGTGATATCGACGAGATCATGTGTCTGTACAACACATTCCTCGTTTTCCTCTCAATTATTCTGTGTACCCTTCTTTGGCCACCGCAAACTTAAGGTGGGTTAGTGTTCGCCTTCAACAGAAAATTAAGCACTAGTAATAATGTAGATTGAATGTTTTTTGACCATTATACATCTCATTTTCAAGCAAAACGACCAGACACAGACACCATTGTGTCTCGATATCCATTTTTACCACAAAAAAGGATGAATGCACAGATTACTTGTGTAATCTGTATGCTGTGTATGAAGCGTAGCTTCTATCTACTTGGAATTTTTTTTGAAGGAATTAAGTTCGTAAGAGTTCTACATGACTGGGTTGGCATGTTCAAATGCCAGCGAAACGGCTCATACTACATCGCAGAGCCTTAACTGAACTCAATGTCGGCTTTTAGAACGCTCCCGTGATTCCCAGGAACCCAAGCTCTGGACCTTTTCGAGCATTTCGTCTCCGTGGATTTGCCTATCAGACCTAGAATAATGCAACGACAAACCCGAATCACCCACAAAATGCCAAGACTCCATTAGGTTAAGGGCCTGGTTTCTTTACACGCTATTGTCATCAGATTATCTGATCACTTGTCAATAAACACCACACCACCTTACAAAAAACAAGTCTAATGGTTCCATATTTATCTTTCTGGTAATCTTTGAACACAACAGACTGCCAAACCAAGTCGTAGACGAAAAAGACATGTTAAGCTTAAGCATATGGCCCACCCATTCCGAGGCTCGACATTGTAGCCTTTCACAGCATTCTCCAGTTTTCGTCTTCCTACCTACAATTTAAGATAGCCGTCAAATGCTGGTAGTACCTTTCATGGTCGTTGGTGGTAACTTGGGATAGTTAGGTATTAACGACACAATAGAGAGCCCGGTTTATTTGCTTGTTGTCTACTTAATCCGAGGAAGCAGATACTGCTCACCACCTACCGCCAGGCTGCTGCTAAATTAGTACAACTGCAGCATAGCCAGTGATAGGGCAATTTGTGGTACTAATTTGTTTGAAATTTTTATAAACGGTGTTGTCAATCCCCTGACCTTAGCCCTCGTCCACCAGTATGTGCCCAGTCAAGCGCACCCAACAAACTCTGACCCACATTTAGGGCTTATCCCAAACTGTGGAGGGGTGATGGTGGTGGAGGTTGTGCGAGCGGTTGCCATCACCAAGTGGTTAGGCTGGCTCAGGGAAGGGAGGGGACGAATACAAATAAACAGAGGATTAGGCCTTAACTTGGGTTGTTAGTTTAGACAGTGAATAGAGCCAGTTCCAGGGGTAAAGGTAAATAAATTTAATGTTCCCTTGTCTCACACAAAGATGACGGTAGAAGGTGGTGGTAAAACATGGGGCTAAACTGAAATTAAAGCCGCACGATCACCAGTCTCTACAATAAAGATTAGAAATGTTTAAAAAGTTTCCAGTGTGTAGGTCGCTTTGTCACACATTGCCCACCCATCTAGCTAGTCATCGGCAGAATTTGGCTCTGGAGCCAGTCAAATGCTGCCCGGATGAGAGGTGGGATGCTCTTGCATGTCTGGGATCTAGTGTTTAAGGCTAAGTAATTGGAACGATGCTGCTATTACTCTTTGATGTTTAATTTTGTTAAAAAATCTGATTCTCACAGGTTTTCCTGTTATGGAGTCATTACCCATGAAAGCAAATAATGTAACCGACTGATTAACACATTTGGTGCAACTTTAAGCAAATACATGATACAAAAGTATAGCTATTAAAGTAACAGTAACCCAAAGATTGCGGAATTATCAAGTGAGTTTCTATTAAATATTATCAATTCCTAAGAATGAATT